AACAAGCACTCGACATGTTGACAACCCTGTTCCTGAACCCCTAGCTCCACGTAGATCTGAACGGGTCAATAAGCCACCTAGGAGGTATGGCTTAGACAATGACTTTGCGGAATTGCACCTTCTAGGTGACAATGACACAAAGGAGGACCCTAGAGACTACAATGAAGCAATGTTCGACATTGATTCAAAAAGATGGCATGAGGCCATGAAATCCGAGATGGATTCCATGTATCAAAATCAAGTCTGGACTCTTGTAGACCCTCCAGAAGGTATAGTACCTGTTGGAAATAAATGGGTATTCAAGAGGAAGATAGGCGTTGATGGGAACGTGGAGACTTATAAGGCTAGACTAGTAGCCAAGGCTTACAGGCAACGAGAAGGGATTGACTATGAAGAAACTTTCTCTCCTGTAGCCATGATTAAGTCCATTCGGATTTTGCTTGCTATAGCTGCGTACCATGATTATGAAATCTGGCAAATGGACGTGAAGACAGCCTTTCTGAACGGCTACCTAGAGGAAGAGCTTTATATGGCTCAACCCGAAGGTTTCGTGTCCAAGTCTGAAAAGACTAAGGTATGCAAGCTTCAGAGGTCCATTTATGGACTTAAGCAAGCCTCCAGAAGCTGGAACATTCGTTTTGATACTGAAATCAAATCGTTTGGTTTTACTCAAAACGAAGACGACAATTGTGTTTATCAAAAAGTCGTTGGGGAAGCAGTTGTATTCCTAGTGTTATATGTAGATGACATATGCACAAGGCCTGATATCGCATATGCTGTGAGCATTACTAGTCGATATCAATCTAACCCAGGATCAGAACACTGGGCAGCTGTCAAGACGGTCCTTAAGTACTTAAGAAGAACTAAGGACATGTTCCTCGTTTATGGAGGAGCATCAGAGTTGCGAGTGGAAGGTTATACAGACGCAGATTTCCAATCTGACGTCGATGATAGAAGTTCCAACTCCGGATATGTATTCACTCTGAATGGTGGGGCTGTCAGCTGGAAAAGCAAGAAACAAAGTGTAATTGCTGATTCCACGACAGAGGCTGAATATGTCGCTGCAGCTGAAGCCGGCAAAGAAGCGTTCTGGATGCAAAAGTTCATCACTGAACTTGGAGTGGTTCCAACCATTACGTCACCAGTAACTTTGTACTGTGATAATAATGGGGCGATAGCTCAAGCCAAGGAACCCAGGGCACATCCAAAGAACAAGCATTTTGATAGGCGCTTCAATATCATTAGAAGATATGCTGCCGAGGGGAAAGTCAACATCCTCAAAGTTGCTTCAGCCGATAACGTAGCAGATCCACTAACGAAGCCAATGTCTCAAATCCAACTTGACCGCCATATGGAAAAGATGGGTATTAGATACATGGGAGGATGGCTTTGAGTGCAAGTGGGAGATTGTTGGAAGTATGCCCACAAAGCCACTCATTTGATGTAATAGCTTTTTGGAATACTTATTGTGTTAAACTTTTATATGTTTAATAGAAGGGCAAAGCTTATTGTTAATCACTATTTATAGTATCTTGTGTTTAAGCAATAAGGGAATCCAAGGAATGTATTTGATCTAAGAGACAAGTGATTTAAGTTAGTTAAATTAACGAGACCTTTCTCTTATGTTCATTCCTAAAACGTTCCTAGCCATAGGATTGCCAATTGGGCATTGACAATCCGCTAAGGTTAGTATGTGTTATGTCGACTCAAGCGTGAGTATGAACTAGTCTCAAGTCATTTGGTGTTGGACACTAAGGCAAACACATAGGTGCTCGAAAGAGTAATCGAGTACACTGAACTATGATCAAACAAGAGTTCGAACATACATGTCATGTAAGAACTCAATAGTTGCAATATGCAAAGTAGTCCTTTGACCTGAGGCATCATTGATGTCTAATGGTTAGGTCCTTGATCTTTGATTATGTCAACGGCATTCCATTGGAGTGTCCACGGCATTGTTGGGGTCAAGCTATCTAGTCATGTAGGCATATGAATGTACAACAAGGGATCTCTAACCTTCCATGATGGAAGGAGAATACTCTAAGATATGATTCGAGAGTCTTTGGCCAAAGCATATGAATATGACTAAGGAAGATGTTCCAAATCTTATTCGATTGAATCATATAAAGAAGTATCACATTGGATAGTAGACATGAAACAAACTATCACTTAAACAATGTGATTAAGAGTATTGTATTAGAGAAGGACCGTATTGCATTGTAGTTGTAACTGGATAGGTTCTCCAACCACTTCTACTTAGCTTGGGTAACCATGACATGCTGCTAGGCGTCACCCATGGTTTGTGGAAGCCCTAAAGATTAGCAAACACTAATTTAAGGGAGAATTGAAATGTGGTTTCAATTCACAATCGATCGTTAAGAGTAACATCGCCCACTACCTCGCTAATTGGAACCTAATGGATCGTACACTGAGTAAAGATATAAGTGAAGAAATTATATGAAATGGATAAGCAATTAAATGGTTTAATTGAAGAATGGTCAAGATTAATTAAATAGTTAATTAATTATACGAAACGTTCGTATTGGGCGTTTAAGTTAGTTTTGGGCTTCGGGGCACAAAAACGTTTTGGCCCACAAGGCCCATTATGTTTAAGTTGTATGACAACTAAAACAAAATGGGCAATTAAGCCCAAAAACATTAAATGGCCGGCCATAACCTTAAGGGTAGTGAACTTGGCTTAATTGCAAGTTTGCCACTCCATTGTGAGGTGGTATAAATACATCTTTATAGCCATTTCACCCTAAGGGGTTTCTAATTGAATTTGGGTGAAACCTATTCTCTCATTACCTTAGGTGAGGAACATCTAGCAATCTTTCTTACCTAAGTCATCCATTTCATCTTCACACAAGATCTTTGGTGTGGAGACTTAGAGACACCAAACTTTTGGTGTTTTGGAGAACAAATCCTCAAATCCTCAAAGAAGAAAAGGAGCACTAAAAGGGAGGAAATCACAAGGAAGATTCAAGGAGCAAGGAGGTGACTTGAAGGCCCTCCACTTGGGTGAATCCCTTGTGTAATCAAGGATGAGCTTCAAGGGTAAAGAATCTCTAAATTCTTATTCTCTTTAATTTTGTTAAAGAGTCTTATGGTTCACCATATACTAGGCTTTGAAAGTCATGGGTTTTATAAATTGTTTTTGAATGCATGCCTACTTTAAAGAGTTATTAGTTTGCATATGTATTCAAATGTTCTTACATGTTCTTAGCTAGGACAAAATTTTTCCTTCAGTAACTTAGTTAAAAAATCTTTGAATCATTCCAAAATTCACCACACCTCACTATGCCGCACGTGGGAGACATGGTTGAGAGCTATTGTTCAACATATTCGAAGTACCTGCATTTTTCATCCATCATTGAGTCCCAACGACGATCTATGATGACAATGTCGCAATGTATTGATTGGAACAAGACATGATGCATCAACAAAATCAACACCAAGCATATTGTGTTTTTCTTACATCAATAGAGCATTAGAAAATTGAAGTCGAATAAATCCGACCCCAAGACAACCTTGCCAACCTCTTTACAAAGTCACTGTCGAAGTTAACCTAACAGACTTGTCCGAGGAATTTGTATGCGTAATACAATGCTTGTAATTTTCATTTGAAAGTTTAGCCAAACACATAATGAGTATCTAGAAATATACTCACATGACCTTAATATATTCTTTTTCCTACGATTAGGAGCATTTTTTCCATTGAGTTTTTGCCACCTGACTAGGTTTTAACAAGGCACCGATCCTGGGCTGGTCATCCCCTTTTGTACGTTCTACTTGGTCCTGAAGGTGTTTAGCTTTGAGTCAAAGAAACTTCTCACATTTTTCTTTAGACTAGGGTTTTTATCCCACCTTGTATTTTAACATAATGAGGTTTTGTGAGATTTATAATCTATGTGTTTTGAGACTCGAATTCACATATTATGCTGAATAGATGAGACAACTTCGTCAACTGCTTCTACATTTGCTTGAAAATCTAATGTGCTATCTACTTGAGTATTTACACACTCAATGAGGAGATTGTGACGTAAAATTCTAGTACATGTGTGACTGTATATATCACTAGTAAATTGTATGTAAGATAATAGAAAATCTTATCCCTTTATGATTGAATTAAAGCATCTTTAAAAGATATGTCAAATTTTAAAAATCAACATAATATTTGATGGCTTATGTGGCAATTTGAAATTTGTACCATATTTTGCTTCATCCGATATATTAAATAATAATATTATTTAACAAGCTTTTTGTCATCTTTTTGTGGGGTTTAATGATTGAAGCAAATAATCAAATACTTGAAAAACACGACATTTACTATATATTAAATTTTTTTTTAATAAATTGACATTTGTTGTCAAATTTGACAGCAAGAGATTTTGCCTTCAATTGACTTGCTCCACATGAGTTGAAAGCTTGGTTGGAGAGAGTGTGCTGCCATTTTTTATTATTATCTATCTACGTGACACTTTTGACATCTCATTTAAAAATGGTCTTACAAAAAAAGATTCTCCTTAATTTATAATAAATAAAGACACGAGACATAAAACACAAACTCCCATTGCCGCACCCCTTCAGTATAATGAGCCACAACATCACCAACACGCTTAAAAAAAATTGTTCAACTCCAAATCTCTTTCATCAAGGCCACCGGATCAAGTGATCTGGGTCCTTGAAACTTGATCCAACATCTAAAAACAGAGACTTTTTTAAAAGTAATAATAATTTTAGCTGTTAGATTAACTTTCAAGGACCTGAAACACTTAATTCGATGATCTTGGTAGAAAAGATCCGGAAATAATCATTTTATCCACAAATTGAAAATAAAAAAGGATAATATCAATCAACATGTACACGTCGATCCATGATGATGTCCCAAATAGCAGTGCGCCTCCCACAGAAACGACTCCAACGAATAAGTATTTTCGGTGGCTACTTTCTCATTCAACGCTGAATATTTAACACACACCACCACCAAGCTTTCTTTCCCCATACACATCGCACCCTCAGAAAACTTTCTGAAACCCAAATCTTTGGTGGATTCTTATTCCTAAACCAAATTTAATCTTGGGGTTTCTCTTGGTTCCAGTCCTTCGCATCCCGAACCATCGCAAAACGCTTTTGCCCGCCGATCAACCGCCACCTCTTCCATCTCTCCCTTCCGGCAAAATCCAATTCCAGGTTATTACTTTCCCTTTTTGCTTTTTTATTCTGGAAATCTTTGTGTTCATCGATCTGCTAATTTCGGAGCGAACCCACATTAATTTTTCATCATTACTTCTCGATTACTGTTTTTTTTCGATCTTGATTTGACTAAACCATCCAGAATTAACACATAAATCAAATATTCATATAATTTTTTTATTTTTGTTTATAGTTGTTTTTCGATTTTAATTTTTCTGGGTAACTTTTTTTTCTTTTCTTTTTTTTCTGATAAATATTCGGTGTTGTAGGTGAAGTTTGGATTTTTGGGTTGGGGATAGAAGATGGGGGCATTCATTTCCAGGTTTTGGTTCATGTTGTTTCCTGCAAAAGAGTATAAGATAGTGGTGGTTGGGTTGGATAATGCTGGGAAGACCACTACCCTTTACAAATTACACTTGGGAGAGGTTGTCACTACAAACGCTACTGTAGGCAGCAACGTTGAAGAGCTTGTCTACAAGAACATTCGGTTCGAGGTACCTTAACCATTCCCATCTCTATCGCTCTTCTATGTTATGCTTTTGTTTATTTCGTTAACGGATGGTTATCCATTTTAGGATGGATGAGTTTCTTGACCAAGTTAGGGCATTCTTGTGTGTGATCGAGCTGTCGAGGGGTCCTTTTTATTTGTGTTTATTGAGTTCTTCTTGTTTTCTAACAACCTTTTTTGTTAGGCTTTCTAATACTAGATGTTTGGAAATTGATTTGAATTTCTCAGTTTCCTTTTTTGTTCTTCTGGTAGATATTTCAAGATAGCTATGCAGTTGATTGGGGTGTTTAAAGAAATCATCTTTCCCAATTGTTTTGTTTCTTAATAGTGCACGTAGGTTTTCCCTCGCTTCTATTTTGTTGGCATCCAAATTGTCTTGTTGGCTGTTGAGGTTCTGTCAACCTCGCTAATAGCAAGCTTGAGGTTGATTATCTGTTGGCTGTTGAGGTTCTGTCAACCTCGCTTCTATTTTGTTGGCATCCAAATGGTCTTGTTGGCTGTTGTTGTCTTGTAGGCTTTTCCCGGTAACTTTCAAAGTTGATTATCTGTTCTAATAATCAAGAGTAATTTTTTGTTTAGGTTGACGGAATTTTTGTAACCATAGGCACACAATATGTTGAAGCATTTCGCATCAAGTACTTTATTAGGAAGTATACCGTGCTTGATGCGATTAGACAAAAGGTTAAGAGTTAATCGGAAACACACTATTTTTTCATATTCTCTAAAATCCTCTCACAGTTTGGATGTGTTTCCCATGAGAGTTCTTGACTTTAATAAGTGCTTGAACATTCTTTTGTGGGAAGATGATAAGAGTTGGTTTAAGTTTTAGTTTAAGATATTCCTGGTCTTTATATAAGAGAATCATTCATTCCGTTAGGATTCCTAGTATGCTGATGTGGCACACATATAGGGGCTATTAGTCCAATAATATGGTGCCATGTGGACTACACCAAAGTAATTTTTTTTTCAACTTATAAAATCTGTAAAAGAAAAGAGAAAGCAAAATAAAAATATGTCTCTCTCCTCCCTCACTTCTCTCTATTCGTACCCAGCTCACCTCAATGTCCACCAACCTCTCCAGGTCTAAGTTCCTCACATCGCTCCTCAAGATTCTTCTTTGAAGGAACTTTCAATCTTGGTTTGCTGTGGGGAAGTTGTTGACCCTAGTTGGGAACAAGATTTTCTGCGGAGAAGGATTCTGCTGTAGAATTGTGTATGGAGGGTATTGGTTTATCCGGAATCGGAACTGGGGATTGGGGTTTTGGCTAGCAATGGAGGAGCTGCAGAAAACTGAAGAAACCTTTCCCCGACTCTATTGCTTCCCTAGCATCGCCCCTAGGACTACTAGCGACCTTGTCTTCCTTCAGATTGGAGGTTGCAACCTCTTGCCGACTTGTAATAGTAGGCTCCGGCAGCGAGTGCAGGGGATCAGGGTGGGGTTAAATTAGATTAGAAATTTAGAATACACATTTTTTCCCCTACGAGTTAATGGGTTCAAATTTGAATAATAATTTGTAATTTATAATGAGAATTTATTGGTTTAACTTTAAAATTTGGGGCTGCAATAAAGGAGAACCAGCTGTAATTTGTGGCGAGGCGTGTTGTTGGCTGTGATGGAGGAGTTTGGTGGAGAAAGATGACCAAAATTCATTTGGATTTATTTTATCTTATTTTACATTCTTTTGATACTTTTTTGTTTTTTGTTTTGTTTTATGGATTTTTATAATTTAAAAAAAAATCAATTAATTTGGTATAATCCACATGGCACCATATTATTGGACTTGTGTGCCACATCAGCACACTAACATAATTGTGTGTGTGTGTGTATATATATATATATCATCATTTGGACATCTAAAATGGCATAGACTTCATTTTGTGATATCTGGAGGATGTACTGGTTCTGAACAGGGAAAATTTAACGGTCCATGTGTTTTTGAAGTATGTGCTTAAACATGTCAGGATACTTCCAACCATTCAGGAAGCATGAAACTTCAACATTACTTACCGAGCATGATAACTATGTATGGTGATCAACGAAAAAACCTACAAGATAGTGCTTCATGTATAGTCGTATCCTTGGTCTGTGTATGAGTCTTTTTAAAATTTGAGCTCATTGAATATTTTGAGCTACGGCATTTAAATGATGGCTCTATATCTCAACCCTAAGCTCGATCAAATGTCAGTCGTGCTCTCAGTTTTCTGTTCCGTTGTCATTTTCATTTCATTTTCTCCTTCAAGGCACTGCATCAGTTTAGGTTTATATATTGTTAGATGCAAAGAGCTAAAGATGATACCTGCAAATCATGTCAATGACAGGTATGGGATCTTGGGGGACAAGAAAGACTGAGGACTTCATGGGCAACATATTACCGTGGAACTCACGCTATCATTGCGGTTATAGACAGTACAGATAGAGCCAGAATTTCAATAATGAAAGATGAACTATTCAGGTTGCTGGCACATGAGGATCTTCAACATTCTGTTGTGCTGGTTTTTGCAAATAAGCAAGACCTCAAGGATGCAATGACCCCAGCAGAGATCACTGACATGCTTTCTCTTCACAGCATCAAGAATCATGACTGGCACATCCAAGCCTGTTGTGCCCTCACAGGAGACGGGCTGTACGATGGTCTAGGTTGGATTGCCCAGCACGTTACAGGGAAAGCGCCCACTTGAAGAAAGACAGATTTTTCATGTAAGCGGGGTTTCGAGGCCAGTTCATGATACAGTGTCAGTTGTGTCATCAAAGCTATTTGCTCTGAACAAACGTGTAGATCATTTCCAATTTCAAATGCTGGAAAAATATTTTACCTTCCGAATCATTAAGCAGTTCATTAAACAATACAATATGCGTGGAGATTTGTAACGCTCTGCCGATACAGTGAAACATTTTGATTGAAAAATTGTTACTCTGCACAATCTGCCTCAAATCAAAGGCTCTCGAAATGAAAGTACTGCCATAAATTGTCATCTGCACGATGTAACGTTTTGTAAAACATTTGCGAATAACAGGAGTAACAAAATCTTTGAACTGTCCTAATTGAAGCCTGCGTGCGAACAACAGTAACAATGAAATCTTTGAAACGTCCTGATTGAAGCCTGTGTGAACAAAAGACGATGGAAGCCTGGAACTCGGTAAAGACCGTCACAATATCCAGCACCTGCAACCTTTCGAGTCTTGGGGGCCTTCGAACCATCGATCCCAGAATGGATTAAGAGGGCCGTGTGTTCTGTCAATCAAGGGAAATGACAATCAGGAAAATGGGTAGTTTTCGAAACAAAGCAAACAAGCAGAATAGAGATGTCACATTGGGAGTAATGGATCCGGCTTTGTCTCTGCACCCTTGAGTATTCTGTAGTACAAAACAAAAGTTGGTTAGCAAAATGGTCAGAGTCGAAACTTGGATTCTACAATATTCTAAGTATCTGCTGTGCTTACTCCTTGCACGCAGATGATGCGTTTTCCATCTTTTCAAGTTGCTCCAGTTCTTCCTGCGGAAAAAAATGAGGAGAATGAAATCCATTCATCAGTCTTAATAATGAAGTCATGCTGATAAATCATAACAAAGCACACGCGCCAAAGCACGCAACAAGCTGTTGAGTCCCTTTTCAGGGTGCCTTTTGGATTACCAAATCACAGGACCAGAAAATGGCAGAAAATGGAAACTCCTGCCCACCAAAAAGATGAAAACAGATAAAGCAATAACCATGATAAATCTCCAATTCCACATTAAACCTCATGTGAAAAGTGTCACTAGACGCTGGCCATAAAAATTCAGGGTTGTGCAAGGCTGAAACATGTCACTAAATGCTTGACAATGGTGGGTGGTAGCTAAGCAAAAATGTTAACACAATGATGCAAAAGGACACATTTCAAACTTATCTTAACAAGAAAAGTTTTAACACCCTACAGTTCATTGACATCCAACTTTTTGCCCAGAACATTTTGTATGCCTCACTCTTTCCTCAAGGTACCCTACCAACTTGGTGGAAGAGTGAGTCACGAAACTCAGAAATCTTTAACCTTAGTTGTTTCCCAAGACAGAGGATATGGAGTTGTGTTTCTTTAAAGAAGGTATGCTTTGTAAGTTTCAAGAGCACGCGGCATCAATTGAGATATGAAAGTATAATTAGACCACACCTCAAACCAAAACTTGAAAATAACTCCAGACATGACTGTCCCACCAAGATATTTGGTTTCACAATCTTATATGCAGCACAACATTAGCAGCAAGTTTAACAGCTTTTAGCCCCAGATAATGACACGTCCCACCGATATATGTGGTTGCTCCTAGGTTGGTGGATGCAGTAACAATTAAAGTCAACACTCAAAAGAGGTTAAAATATCCAAACACAAATGTAACAAATTCCTAGTTTTCTACTCAGCACACGAGAAGCCTTCTTTCAAAACACTCCGAAACCATTTAAATAGCCTGTCATTTATGGTGAACTTTACAGCTGAAAAGTCAAAACTCAGGGCTCAAGGTACTCTTAATGTTAGTAGCTGTGGCCAATTTAACCATTACAAATTCATATTATCAATAAAGCCTCAGGTAACTTTAAAATAGTTTTGGAGATTGTTATTTTCAACTGAATGTTCTGCCGTTTAAGCTATTTGACATTTTGACTGCAGTTCTTTTCTTGTGCTGTGTAGGTCCTTCCAATGTCATCAAATTTTCAATTTTATTCTAATTTTCAGTTATCAACAATTCCATACGTTGTTCATTTTCACAACGCAGCATACATTTGAAACCTTATTCTTTCACTTATTTATCCACAACAACCCTGGTTACCTGGTCATCTTGTCACCCTAATGGACTTTTGTCTTCACAACTTAAAGACAAGAATCTTGCAAGTGTCTTGCACCACATTTGGCAACAAGAGAATCATCAAAAACATAACTTCAGAGTTTGTTGCAGAGGGCTTAAATATGTATACACACACACCAGCCAAACGAATGAGGAAAGTACGCCACTGTATAATGTGTAGAGCTCGACGATTTACTTCTCAAGAGTCAAAGGTGAACAAATAAAACTAAAATACACAGCTACACCTCTTAGCTGTAAAAGTTATCATGCTTTCATCACCAACAAAACCAATCAATTGTTCACACGAAACATGTACTCACCCAAGGCATGAGAAATCGACACTAAAGAGCCCCTGACCAATCACGTGTGTTACCCCATTATTATTTATTATCTATCTGTTGCGAATCAAATTACCCTTCTGCACATCGGATCATGAACTATAACAACCGAGACATCAATCAAACTACGCCTAAGCGCAAACATACATATTAACTCGACCTGACTAAACTAAACGACTAATAACTCCAACAATTTCTACATTTTGCAAACATATGGTTAGAGAGGGGGTCACATGGCCGCAAACGGAAAACCTGATTAAGAGGGTCACATTTAATAGAACAACCCTCATAAATTATGAGTAACAACGAATAAGAGCGTCACATGGCTGCAATAGGCAAAGCTGAGAATACACACAAAAGGGTGATGCATAAGCCTCCCAAACTCTTACGTTACACTAGGAAACCGAACCTACGGATCGATGAAACAGGACCGCAATCTAGCCAAAACAATCAAACCAAACCATTTCAAACTCTACAACCATTTAATCACATTCATCATACATCTAACAATTCCAATAAATGCATTTTTAATATACTTCGAATCCTAGATTCCATCATTGACTCCCTAAACCTTCAAACTCCAAACAAACAGAAAATTCAGTGACCGTACAAATCCAGCAGCTAACTGAATTCAACCTTGAAAATTGGAAATTTTCACCATATGTTGCCACATGCATCCAATCACAATCAGAAACGAAGCATAAGACAATCAAAACCCAACAACATCAGACGAACTCAAATTCCCAATATCATAGACAAAGTAAAAGAATCACACTGACCTCTAAGAATCTAGTTTCTTGCTCGAGCCGCTTCAACTCGGCATGTATCCTGTGCTTCCCTCTCGTATCGGCGGCTGACAAAGACTGCAGCCGTTGGGTTGTCGGGCTCAATGTTTCCGACCCATCCGATTGCATCGTATCACAGAACCCACTAAAGCTTCAAACTTTATAGCACATGCCCAGTTACAAAAACCAACATATATCACAAAGAAACAATCTGATCATCGCAGAAACGCCATTGGAGAGGAAACCAACAACGACCCAGAAATCTTCATGGACCCCACAACCAATTTCTCACCAGAAACACGCAAAGGAGCGGATCTAGCAGTGAAGGAGAAAGGGAATGAAAGGGGAAAGGAAGAAAGTTTCTTTCTTCTTTGTATGTTTCGTTGTTTGGTAGTGGAGGGAGTGTAGGATGAAAGCTTGTTTTCTTTTTTCTGTTTTTATAATTTTCTGTCTTTTTTGTCTCTCTCTCTCTCTCTCTCTGCTTTTTACTCTCTCTCTACTTTTGGGGTCCAAGCAGCCATACAGATTCTCTACTTTGTTGAGCCGCCCCCACGCGGCGTTTTTCCCCCAACCTTTGCGCCGGTAATTGTGGATGGGTGCGCGCATGATACTGTGGGCTTGGAAAGGACAATATTTATCTCAGGTTTTAAGTAGTACAAAGTAGAAAGGGGAAGAAAATGTCCGTAGAATCACGCTACTTGTTGGGTTGGTGTTGTGGCCCCTTGTTGCCTTGTAGGATATCACTTATGCGCTTGTATGTCACTATTGTGGCGTTCTGATGACCAAAATATTTATGTGGCAATACTTCTTTCATTTTTTTATTTTTTATTTTTTATTTAGAATATGTGGCAATACTTTTGTTCGATGAAAATAGTATTCATATTATACTGTGTTCCGAGACAGGAGAGATAGAGAGGCATGAATTGAATCTTAAAAGGGACATTTGTGATATATGAATATGGTTTATATATACATATATATATATTTGTTTTTTTTTATAGAAAAAAGAGATAAGTGATGATAAGTTATGATTATCCACCTCTTTCGGGCCCAAAGAGGCTATGAGAAATTTCACCTTGTCCGTGATCACAGTCAAGTAGACTCACCAGCTCGGTGCATTGAACTCGGGATCTCCCACATTTTTTTTTATTGGGGAGCCGCAATCCATATCCTTACCATCTAGTGGTGGTTTAGGTTTATCACCTATTGCTGTTAGTACAATTTCTTTTGTGTGACGGTGTGGTATATTGGAGTTGTGTTATGAATTCACATATTACAAAAAGAGATTACAAGCCAGATGATTAAGAGTATTTACTTTTGCATTTGAGGTTGGACTATTCCAATATTACTTTTATAGAAGAAAAAAACAAATTCACCTAGTACGTGGTGCAAATATTAAAAATTTAATACTAAATCATAAATAGTGAATAATTTTTGTAAATTTATTGTACCAGATGATTAGGTTTGGTGTAGTGGGTTAAAAAAATAGAATGTAATGTTTATACTTATATACATCAATTGTTCCACATTATCTGCGAGATTATGAAATCAGATATACTCAATTTGGAGTTACAGAAGACGAGATAGAGTGGATGAACGTTAAAAAATTTGTTCAACTCTAAAATCCTTAAAAAGTATTACACACTTTAATGCTACATCAACAAATCACATGATACGAACTATTCTGCCACATTAAAATTAACGTTTTCTTTTTCATATATAGGTTCATCTGCTCTTCTTATTGTTCAAAAGCATTGGGGCTTGATTGAAACTAATTTCAAAATGGCTGAAAGTTATTTTAGAGAAAACATTTTTGGATTCCAAAAGTACTTAAAGTGTTTTTTCACTATTCACTTGCCGTTTTATTAGGGATTGATTTCAAAAGTATTTTCATTAAAAGTATTTTTAACCATTTTAAAAGCACTTTCCGAGGAACCCTTACTGCCTCATACCACTCTTCTCACTTTTATCCTTCATTTTGGTGCATGTACTTGCTTAAAATGAGTACTCGATGTAATTTAGATGGCTGGGTGAATTGAAGATTAATTAAAGGGCGTAAATCCAGCTTCAAAATCCAAAAGCTTTGCATATATTAGGCCTTCAGTAACCTATTTGAGCCCATAATCATCTACAATTTTTATCTTTAGTGATTCGTAGACGACTCGTCGAAGGGAAGAAAGTTACGTTCCTCTCTGTAGTCTTATTGCACATTTGAACTCTGTTTTTTTTCTTATTGTACATATTAGATGAGTATATGCACTGTTACTTCCTTTGCCCATATCTAAATTATAAATCCGGACCAACAAATTTCTCAGATGAAAGACGAGCTACCATATACGACGTGTTCAATCCAGAGCGAACCCGACTATTCAAGACCAATTCCCGTTCGCACCAGTTACTGCATGCCACACAGCTGTCGACGCCCACTGCCACCGACGTCCACGTGTCCCCGACATGCAACCTCTTCTTGCAGCCAGTACATAAACTTGCACTCAGTCGATCAAATTCCTTAATTAAAACCCTAAACCATGTCATCCGTCTCTGCAATCTCCTCCTCCCTCTTAAAACGAACCATCCCGTTTTGTTCATCCGCGGCTACTACTACCCTAGCCACGACCGGAAACGGGGCTACACAGTTTCTATCCCTCAAAAAACGCATATTCCCCTCAGCATCTCATCTCCTAGCCCCTGCCCTACCCGACCCGCCGGACCAGTACCCTACTAAGGCGCCGCCAGAGTTTTCTCCGTCAGTTCCAGGCCGCTACGACCAGCCTTCTACTCCTCCTGAGGTCCCTGGAATTTCCACCTTTCCGGAAGTGGACCCGACTACTACTATACCACCTGAAGTCAGACCATATCCTCCACCACTAGAGCCCGGTCCGAACCCGGGTCCGGATTTTCCGGTACCTCCCTTGAACCCGACTCCTCTGCCCGATATTCCGCCACCTTTTCCAGATAACCCGCTCCCTAATCCCGGTATACTGCCGCCGCAGCCACCTGAGGTCGTGCCTCCGCCTCCGCCGTCGCCTGAGATTATACCTCCTCCAGCTCCACCGCCACCACCAACTGGCCCGGGCGGGCCTATTGTTGTCTAGGTTGTGAATTAAGTTTTGAAATTTGATGGGAAATTTTGGATGTATATAGAAGCAATCTACTTGTTCCATGACTAAAAAATTTGGTTTTTTTGTTTTTTTTGTATGGACAAATGAAATGATTTGGTTTTTTTTGGACAAATGAAATGAATTTTCCGTCTTGAAGCTAATTTAGATCTCTGGAGTTTGTTAATATTGTTTTACATATTCGGAGGCAGACAATATTTATGCTCTTGAAGTAGCAATGCATAGTTGAGCCTCTTGTCGTCTTCATGTGAAATAACTTCGATTGAAAGTTGAAATCATATAATGCAAGGCCGGTCCTGAGATTTTGGAGATCCTGTGCTAGACTCAAACAGAGGCTCTTACAAGGTCTAAATTTTGGTTGCTATATTTTCTTTTATTTTCTTGTTTATAAATTGATATAAACGCAAAAGAAAATAAATAAAAAAAAGCATGGTTTGGTGGTTATGTATTTACATTTTTTATGTTTTTGGGTTCGAATTTACTTTTTAAATACAAAAAGCATGATGTGGTGGTTATGTACATATCATGTCACCGTACACATATCATAATCAGAACAACTCATGTTCTTTATTATGAACTAGTTAAACAAATCACTGGTTATGATATTTGTAGTATCTTATAATGAACTGTTAGGTTTTTTTTATTGCATTTTTTCTCACTCTCTAAAGTGAGGGTAATTCTAACCCTCACTCGGTGGATTGTCATTAGATTAGTTAGAATTCAAGATTTGTGTCTTAAATTAATTAAACTAAATTAATTTAACGGTAATCAATAGGGGATGAGCATCATCTGCTTACCTCCATTTCAGTGTTGTGAGCAAAGTTATATTATATATGGATGATAAAATAGTATTCAAATATGATGAAAATTAGATGATTCTTAAAAGCTGATCAAAAGAATAAACGAACGACATGTATTCGATTAAATGATATCATATATGAAAAGGGGGTTTAAAGATTATATCTTTAAATTTTTAAGTATTTTAATTAATTATGATATTCTTAATTATAGATTTATCATCAAAATTTTTTTTTTATAATGATAGAAATTAAACTACAAATATTAAAGAGAAAAGAAAAAAAAATTAATGTAGTTCAAAAAAGGAAAAGAAAAAATTAATGTACTCTTTTATAATGATAGAAATTAAACTACAAATATTAAAAAGAAAAGAAAAAAAAATTAATGTAGTTCAAAAAAGGCCCGAAATGGATCTGCTAGTGGGAGTCGAACCCGTGCAAACACAAATGTAAGCACCAGCACTAGACGACTCACCTAAGGCAACAACAGGAATTATGCTCACACATTGTTTTATATGTAGTATATTATAAAGGTTATTAAAATTCAGGGGCCCCTAAAAATCGGGAGCCCTGTGCGGTCGCACGCTTGGCAGCCCTTTAGGGCCGGCCCTGATATAATGGTATATTTTCAATCTTAACAGTAAACAAATTCATGTAGGAGCTACTGGAAAAATTGAAATTCAGAGTTTTTGGTACTCTTTAAGACAACAAATATTGAAGGAGCATACCATATGTAGTTTGAATTGATTTTGAAAAAGATAATGAAATAGTTGAATTTTGTTAATCACATGCATTTACATATGAATAAGGCAACAGCAGCAGCACCAACCTTCGCACCCAGGACCAAGAAGTGTCACGTAAGCGCACTTCATGTTGACATATGAGATTGTATTAATTAATACTTTGTTTAACTTGGTATCAGACGTTGAACCCTGCTGTGGTCGCTTCCTTGCGTGTGCATAACCCTAATTGTGCACCCACATGCCATAAACATGGGGATGATTATGATCGATGTTGATGATGCACTCTCTTGCATGAACATGTACCTGCATACCATATGTATAAAGATGCTGCTGCTGCTTTTGTTGCTTTGTTCTCCCTTCACTTAAAATCCTAACTTTTTAAGGTTTTGTCTTAATTTGCTTTGCCCCTAACTTTGCCGTTGATTTTTTTTTTTTAAACAAACGATATTATCTACCATAAGGGGATGAAGTGGACTGAATCTCACAATGGGTTAGCAATATCGTTGTTCAAATTCGTCTTTGGCAAGAATCGAACTTAAGACCTCTTACTTACAAGTAAAGAGGAATAACTGGACTATTGTAGCCTATTTTATCTGACAAGGAAGGAGGCTGGTAGCAGACAAAGATATTGGAGAGAGATGTGTTTGTAGGGTTGTGTAGAAGAATGTGTTGAGGATGTTGTTATCTCCCTTACGCAGTGCCTTTATTTATAGTAATAAGAGGGAGAAGAAATCCTTCTCCTCCAAGGAATACAAGTTCATATAAGAAAGAATAACTAGAATCAAATCTAATATAGGATTTACACAATCACACTTAAACTAGAAGTTTATAACACTCCTCCTTGAGTGTGTAAATACTTAAGTAGATTCAGCATCATGTAAAGGTTAAGGAAGTCGACTCGTCGACACTGATTCTGGGAACACACTATTCTTAATAAGGTAGGAACTTGCATAAGGAAGTAAGTCTTACAAAAAACCCTATGGCTATGGTAAAAACCCAAGTAGGGACAAAACCCATAGTCTAAGGAAAAATGCATGAGTAATGCAAAGTCAAATGAAACATCTACATGACGTCATCAGGGATATGATCAACCCAAGGTGGGTGCCTTGTCAAAATCTAGTTAGGTAGCAAAAACCCAGTGGGAAAAATGCTCTTAATCGTAGGGAAAAAGAGTACATTAAGATCAAGCAAGTATACTTCAGGATACTCCCCTTAAGTTTGACATAATTCCAAAGAGAACTAGCAATATTACAACTCAAAAAGTTTACGCATACCAATTCCATGAACAAGCTTTTGAAACATCACTTTCGGTAGTGACTTGGTGAAGAGGTTGGCCAGATTGTCTTGTGAACGGATTTGCGTGACTTCAATCTTCTGATGCTCTTGTTGTTGATGAGAGAAGAAGAACTTCGGCGCAATGTGCTTGGTGTTATCTCCTTTGATGTAACCCTTCTTGAGCTGTTCGATGCATGCTGCGTTGTCTTCATAGATTGTCGTTGGGACATCAACGATGGGGTAAAGATCGCACGAGCTTCAAATATGGTCCACAACTGCTTTCAACCAAAAACATTCCTGAGCTGTTTCGTGTAAGGCGAGAATTTCAGCATGGTTAGATAAAATGGAAATTAAGGTTTGTTTAGTTGACCTCCAAGAGATTGCAGTGCCTCCAACGGTAAAGACATAACCCGTTTGAGAACGCGTCTTGTGCAGATCAGATTAGTATCATGCGTCGGCATAACCAACAAGGTAAGAATCGACTCGAGATAAGAGGGTGTGGCATCACTCGAGGATCTGTAGCGATATAACAAGCCCAGATTCATAGTACCCTTAAGGTAACAGAAAATGTCTTTAACACCAGTTCAGTGTCTGCGTGTTGGTGCATTATTGTATATTGCCAAGATTAACAACGAATGAGATATCGGGTCTAGTGCATTAAGCTAAGTACAATAAAATGCCTATCATACTTAGATAAGAAATTTCAGACTCCAAAATCTTTTCATCATCCTCATTTGGACGGAAGGGATCTCGTTTTGCATCTACCGATCGAACAAACATAGGAGTACTCGAAAGCTTCTCTTTATCCTCATTAAAGTGGCACAACACCTTCTGGGTGTAGTTCATTTGATGTACTAAGATTCCATCCAAACGGTGCTTTATCTTGAGATTGAGATAGTATTGAGTGTTTCCTAAATCTTTCATCTCAAATTCCGACTTTAGGTGCGCGATAGTTCTCGCGAGCTCTTCAGGAGTTCCGATAAGGTTTATGTCATCAACATAAACTGCAACTATCGCAAAACCAGAATGTGACTTCTTCATAAACACACAAGGGCATAGTTCATTGTTCACATATCCCTAACTAGTCAAATACTCACTCAGACGGTTATATCACATTCTTTCGGATTGCTTCAAACCATAGAGTGAATGCCTCAGCCGAATTAAGAGCATGTTTCGGGGTTTTGAAATATTTGATCCAATCAATGTAAATCCTTCGGGAACTTTCATATAAATTTCCATATCAAGATCCCCATAGGGATAAATAGTTACTACGTCCACCAACTGCATACTCAGTTTTAACTACCAAACTAATAAGGTAGAGAAAAGTAATCACATCCATAACGGGTGAATAAGTTTTGTCATAGTCAATCCCGGGGTGTTGTGAGAAGCCTTGCGCAACAAGAGGAGCTTTATAATGCATAATTTCGTTCTTCTCATTACGTTTCCGAATGAAAACCTACTTATAGCCAATAGGCTTCACATGTGGATGAGTATGAACTACAGGTGCAAACAATTTGTGTTTCGCAAGCGAATTGAGTTCGACTTAGATTGCTTGTTTCCAGTTTGGCCAATTGGTTCTACGTTGACATTTATCAATGGAATGGTGTTCAATGTCATTACTCAGCATGATCTCAATAGCTATTGCATATGTTAATTCATCGTCGACGATCATCTCATTTCTACACCATACATCATCTAAGCTAGCATAATAGACCGAAATCTCACAATTCTCGGAAGGTAGATTAGTCTTTTCAATGACGCTTCCGTAATTTATAATTTCCTTATAAGTTGGATAGAATGAGTAAGCGACAATTGGATTCACGGTAGGCTTTTCAGGTGCCCGTGTCGTGGGTTTCCTCTTCCGGGGGTGTGAATCCTTTGAACCAAGAGGTTTGCCACCCTTTTGTGTATGGGTAGATGATTAGCTAGCCACTAATGTACGTGGATTACCAAAGTTGGCGTCCCGGGCCTTCAAGAGGGAAGTTCAACGTAGATTTGGTACATCCATGTTTGCAGGCACATTTGCAGCTGGAATATCTGATCTTGTCACTCGCGCTAGATTGGTGAAAGCATCTGGCATGCTCTGAGCTATGCTTTGGAGATTTAATATGTGTTACACTTCAGTTTCAGACTAAGCGGTGCGGGGGATCAAAATGAAACA